AAAGCCCGAGGTTGTTCAAAAAGAACACCCACACCACTTGGATTTGCTTCAGGAAAAGAAAAAACAACATATTTCCGGAGAAGAAGATTTACCCATAGGGCCATGGGGGAAAATCAACCATCACCGTTCCCTTCAGCCAAAACCAGGACCACCGGTGCCTGTGCAAAGCTCTAGACTCTATACCGACATGGACCAGTCGGACGGGGCGGGAGTTCCACCGACCTGTCCGGTACCTGTCCTGTACCTGGAGTCGACCGACTTCGCACCAGGAACGGAGCTGTTTGGGCCCGTTTCGGGTCGTGATCTCCCCATGTTCTACGAAATGCTTCAGTCGGGTCCAGGGACGAAGTGCCATACCCGACCACGCCGGTCGGCGCTGGACTCCGCTATGATCCTCCCAGGAGCTGGAATGCACTCTGACAGGAACGTCTCACCTGCCGGAAGGCCAAAAAGAAAACACCAGGTCCCGGCGATGGAAAATGGAGTGAACATCGATGGCATTCTCCGGAGGGTCTTGTTTTTCACCAAACGATGTTAGCCAGGTTCCTCTGCAACATGGCATTATCCGGAGGGTACCATTTGTAGCCTTTTGTCTGATCTCTCTTGATATGGTCCACACATGTGTGATAGATCACATGGACCATTGTTCTCGTTCCCATGATACCGCAGCAAAAAGACCGGTTTGAATGAGGTCATTTTGCACAATGGTTGGCGTTTCATAATGCAAACCAACTCATTAGAATTCTTAATTAAGTTGATCATGGTTTAATCGTCGGATCGTCATGCGCAATTCATCTGGTCCCATAAAGCTAGGCGGTCCGCCCGCATGTGGATGAAGGTGGCTCCTTCGAGGCCCGATCGAGGTCTGACTATACCTCTCCCAGCTGAAGGAATCGACCGGACCCAAACCATCCATGGGACTGACAACCTACCCCTGGGGATCCTGGGGATCCGTTTTCGTACGGAGACATGTAGGTGCCAGGAGGGTCCAGTCGTACCTTCTGAGAAGGTACGACTGGATCCCTAGGGTACCAGGGCCATCCAGGGCCCCCCTAAGTACATCGGGGTGTCGATTTTTTCGCCCCGTTTTTTGGAGAAGGGGTGTCCATGAACCACATGGAGACGTCAAAAGCTCGCTACCAGTAACCATCCCACATGGAGTTGGGTGGTTGGTTCGTCCCATCCAGGGGCTGTAGATGTGACAGGGGCTGTGGCTGTGGGACTATTGACCGATCGGGGTGGTTTGGGGGGTTGGGGTGGCATATCTTCCGGTCCCATTTGCCTGGTCTGGGGTGAGTTACCTCGGAGCCCATGGGGCCCCAGTCGTGGTTTCCCGCTGGACATGAAGACGGCCACGTTCCGGGCGATGGTTCCACCCATCGGCCCCACATGGTCGGAGAAACACTCCGATCCTTTGGCGATGGCGAGGAATCCGACCAAACCATGCAATTGGAACATGTTTCATCCAAGAGAGGTCACTCCTGGGGTACCAAGATAGTCTATCGGGTCCTGGAAACCTCTGGAGGTTTCAATCATAATTCAATCTCTCAATATGAAATTCTCAAACCATGAGCCTTTTTGGTTTGACACCATTGGTCTCAGACTCCCACCCACCCACCCACCGAAAAGAAACCACCAATTCAACGGCCCAGCCGCGACCGCGCCTACGCAATCCTCCCTGAAGCGGCACTCGTTGGTGGCGTTCCCAGCGAATCCCGCGGCACACGCCCAGTCCTCGCGCGAGGGCGGTGAGGGCGACTTCTACTGAGGATGGGATTGAAGCCATTTAAGACAGGTGCATAGGTCTTGATGGATATCGAACTTGTATGAACTTGTCATACATTCCTGCCAAATTATGATCTTTCTTGTATCAAGACACACAAACCTGGCATTCAGAGGGGATTTGCAATGCAAAAACGCCCTCCTAGTCGTCCTTATCTCCTTTCTCCATCCCCTGTCCCGTCTCGACTTTGGGACCTGAGAGTATTGAAATCCGATATGCAATGCCTCTGTTCAGCACCATCATTTAGATGTGGCTCAAAGCGTTCAAAGATAGATTGTCTCATGCCAGTAAGGTACCAAAAAAAAGGGGGTTGGTTGGTTTACTATTTTGAGCCTTGACTCACTGTACCAACTTTGGCCATGCCACCTATGCAGCACCCAGCTGGGCCGTCACATTCATTTTCTTCATTGCTCGCCGCATTCGCCGTGCCCGCTCAACAGGCCGGGATTTGACATCATTCGTCCCTGCTGAGGTCACTGTGCTGATCTGTCAGTCTGAGGTTTGGGCTTGACATGCTCAGGTTGCATCCAATGGGGTTGTTTAGGGGGGTTGTATGCGCTGATGTAGCAATGCCACAATCCCACTGATTTGAGGTAGTTCTTCATGCTATGAGCAACATGAGATCTTGAACTCTACCATGCAGAATCTTTGGAAGCTCTTCAGGCCACAGCATTTTGGCACATAGACATTTCCAGGGAAATGGGAAGGAGCATGGCAAGCCACGCCATCCTCTCCCAACTGTGCAACAAATCAAAGAGCGACTCTTAAAAATGACCTTTCGCAATGTAGTTGTCTTGTTTTATTGCTTGATATACGCGGAATTCTTTGTTGTTGAAGTTAACCCCAAGAAATTCGCACCTTCCCCCCCCCAAAAGAAACAACGAAGCAAAGGGCCCGGGCACATGTGGTCGTTCACGGCGCATACAGTCAGGTTGTCGACCAGGTGTACCAACCACAAAGGACCACCTGATTGGAAGACCACTTGCGTATGTAACACATCTCCCGCTCCCCACCCGATTCAGCTGCGGAAGCGATGTGATTCCTGCCTTCGCCCTCGGAAGGAAACGGTCTGAGAATGGTTCGCCAATGTACGGTTTTGCGCTGGACGTGGCGTCCGACCATCTACCCGCCGCTGCTCCGTGGTCATGGTGCTGCTGGTGTTTTTGGAGGCGTGTTCTTTCTGGTGGACGAAAGTTCATGCAGTTCTCGGTATCCAAAAACTGTGCGTCCAACAGATCTTCGCGTCGTCCGGGTGGATAGTTCCAGCTCCTTCGCTCGCTGAGGCGTTAAGCAAGCGGGTGAACATCCGTCCGGGCAAGATGCTTCCCGAACCTCGCAGTGGCCAAGTCAAATCCAGTAACGGATGGGAGAAAAAGAGCACCAGCAAGCCGCCTGCAAGCCTTGAATCTCTGGACTGGAGTGGCCGAAATCATCGCCGTAGCCTTCTCATTCCTTTAAGCGTGCTTGATGGGGCGTGGGTGCAATGCTGGATTCCTCCTGCAACTGAAACTGTGGTATGTGCGTTGGATATAGTATAGGTCCTGCACGTCCTGCAGTGACATAAAAAGAACACGGCCAAAAACAAAGAATATACGAGGTTTCATCAGAAATATCCAAACTTGAGAGAGGAGGGGGTGAACGAAAGGTAGCAGGGAATCTGGCGCAACCCTGGAAACACTGGTATTAAAGGTATTCACGGTGCTTTGTGGCCACTTTGAAGCGTACAGAGCTTGAAACCATCCCAATATACAGGTTTGAGGCCACTCTTGAAGATAGGAGGAGCTGAAAACACATGAAAACACTGGTATTTACGGTGTTTTGTGGCCACTTTGAAGCGTAAACAGCCCAAAGCCATCGCAATTTACAGGGTTTTGTGCCGGGAGGGCGCACAAACCCGTGTAAATCCGGGCGCCGGCCAGGAAGCCCGTGGCATGCCCGGAGGGCCTTCGGTGGTAACCGAAGGTTTTTGACGCTCGCGCCCCCTGCCGCCGACCCTCGTTCCCAAAACGGGGGGACTGAAGTCGCTGTAATTTACAGTGTATTGTGCGTGAGGTACAAAAAACACGGTGCTTTATAGGGTTTATTGCGCCTATCGAAGTACGACGCGGCGAAGATGGAAAAATGCAAAACCCTGTGTTTTTCAAGGGTGGTGTCGGTAATGCGCGCCGGGCGGACAAGCATAATCGACATTTTGTGGAGGCCTTCCAGACGATTTCAATTGCCTAACATATCCTCAACATAGGCCTAAGATAGCCAACATATCCCCAACATATGCCCAACATAATGGGGCCAACATACGCCAACATAGGCCCAACATAGGCCCAACCTAGGCCAACATAGGCCAACATAGGCCTAACGTAGGCCAACATAGGCCCAACATAGGCTCAACATGGGCCCAAGATGTGCCCAACATAGACCACATGGGCCCAACTTGGCCCAACCTAGGGCCAAGATGCGCACCAGATAGCTTAACTTGTGCCCCAGACCCCGGCCCCCGTCTCCAACGCCGAGCAGTTTCCCACCTTGCCCCCACCCAGGGCCCTGTACGGCCCCGATAGCTGCACGTGCACCCGACCCAGCCCTACACAGACCCTAGTGTGCCGGCGCCCGGCTGTTAGGCGTAAGCCTTTAAATACCGTCGCTTTGTGCCATTTTAGAAGCCTCCAAACGCCGAAAAAGCCCTTTCCGACAAAATCTTTCCAGGTTTTTGGCAATGTTTCGACCATTTTTGAAGCCTAGACACTTCAAAAAACCATCGGTTTTTACGAGGTTTTTGGCCGGACAGCCACAGAAAACCATGTAAATTGCGTGGTTTGAGGCCACTCTTGCAGACTGGAGGAGCTGAAAACACTGCTATTTACAGTGTTTTGTAGCTGTTGACAAAGACCCGCGCCAGGGTGGAGTTGAAAGGGGGGAGCGGGGTGGGCCCCCCCTCCCCCTCGGCCCTTAAAAGTAAATGTCGGAGGCGATTTCTCAGTGAGATGGGTGTCCACTCTGGTTATAATTCATTTTTGCTAAAGCAAAAGGAAAACTCAGGTAGCGTAACCGCTACCTTTCGTGATTTAGATGTGCATTGAAGTGTCCAGGTAGTGTCCATGTTTTGGGAAGCCTTTGTCGCACCTGTCTCCAGTTCGGCCGCAACTTTGTTTCTCAAATCCTTCGAGTCTCTCTCTGCCGAACTCTCCAGTCTGTGGCAAAACTCTGTACAGTTTACGCCTCACACAGACAACGGCTCCACAGCCCTGCAAACAGGGCCGCACAGCAGGACGATGGGACAGTGTGGCGGCAGCGACATGGGCGCTTCGTCCGCCGAGGCAATGAAGTCACTTTCGATGATCTTCACCTCGAGGCTCGAGGAGAGGTGGAGTCGACGTGTGGACGAGCGTGTCGACGTGAGGCGCTGGGATCGGCAGCTTGGAGTCTTCGGGGAGAACACGACCTCCGGTCACGTCGACCGGAGGGTCCGGGCTGTGGTGAGTCTTCGGGTCCTCCGTCGTGTTCGGAGGAGGACGGTCGGGTCGGGTCGCCAGAACGGTGTAGACGACTGGCCTCTTCGAAGCTGAGCATTGATGGTTCCATATGGGTTCCCATCGGACCGACCTTTCGTGGTCCCTTCCCCTCTCCTCTCGTCCCTTCCCACGGTATATTTCAGATACAGATCTTGAGGTCGGAAGGGGAGAATTCAGCTGTTTTTGGGTTCAACCCACCCTTAGAAGCTGTGGGAAGCTGCAGGGTTGTGACGAAGAAGACTTTTCTTGCGCAGCTCACCTGGACCCGAGCTGAGCTTGGGAGGGTGGAGCTCAGTGGATAGGTGTAGGTGCTCTTTCCCATCAAAAATGCTGTTGGAGGTCAAGAAAAGCCATGATTTCTTCGGACCTTCTGACGAAAAGACCCTTCTCCTCACGTGCGTCGAGGTCATGAGAATTATTTCCCACGAATGGAATGCCCATGAATGCCAAGGGAGAGATCCCACGAGCTCTCTGGGACTTCCCAATGAGCTCTCAGGAACTTCATGCTCAGCTCGCCGGAAGTGACCGAGCGCCGTTTTTTTTAAGCGGAGGCTCATGTTCTGACCCACTGGCAGGGATTGGAGAGGCTGTTTGTTCCAAGACCGATCTGTTGAAAATATTTTCAGATTTGTACCAGCTGCTTCCAATGGGTCACCAATGGACAACCCTACACTAATTATAGGTCTCCATGAAACACCCATTGGAAGTGCTAGGTATGAATCTGGAACAACACCATGTTTACAGGATCTAAATGGATCCAAGGATGTGAGTTGTCGGGCCTTTCATTTCGTGATGGGGGGGTTCGGACCCCCCCACGAGGGTTGTGAGTTGTGAGTTGGCAGCCACTGCTCCCGGGCTCCATATTTTTGTTCCAACCTTTTACAACCTGAACATAGGCACGGAAAGTGGCTGAACTTCCCCGATGCTGAACCTGAATTCTTCCTGGAAAACAATATACCCATCATCATCCATCTGAAATGTCAGCACAAGAGATCATCAACCACACCTGCAATGCTGAGTCAATGTCAAGTCTCACTTGGGACAGGCTTGTCCAGCACTTGTTCCTTCTCTCTGGAAGTTGCCAAACCCTTCGCGGGCTTACCTCAGTGTGTAAACCAGCGCGCAACCCACAGCTGGCTTCTAACTGAATGCCTCTACAGAAAATAGCTAACAATTGACGGTTTCCAATACAGGCCAACATGCTCAAAACTGGTGGAATACATTCACCACCCTATCATCCCTATCTACCACCATATCTAAGCCATGATTGTAGTCCCATTTGCTGCGTTTCCTTTGAAAAGGATGATCAGACCGGACACTTCTTCAATCCCCTGCTGTGACGCCGCCTTTAAATTTGCAAAACAAGTGCTCCAACCTAATAGCAACGGCCTGCTACCTAAAAGCAACGGCCTGCAACCTAATAGCAACGGCCTGCAACCTAATAGCAACGGCCTCCAACCTAATAGCAACGGCCTGCAACCTAATAGCAACGGCCTGCAACCTAATAGCAATGGCCTCCAACCTAATAGCAACGGCATGCAACCTAATAGCAATGGCCTCCAACCTAATAGCAACGGCCTGCAACCTAATGGCAATGGCCTGCAACCTAATAGCAACAGCCTGCCACCTAATAGCAACGGCCTGCAACCTAATAGCAACGGCCTGCAACCTAATAGCAACGGCCTGCAACCTAATAGCAATGGCCTCCAACCTAATAGCAACGGCCTGCAACCTAATAGCAATGGCCTGCAACCTAATAGCAACGGCCTGCAACCTAATAGCAATGTTCTGCAACCTAATAGCAACGGCCTGCAACCTAATAGCAACGGCCTGCAACCTAACAGCAATGGCCTCCAACCTAATAGCAACGGCCTGCAACCTAATAGCAATGGCCTCCAACCAAACAGCAATGGCCAATAGCGATGGCCTGCAACCTAATAGCAACGGTCTCCAACCCAATAGCAACGGCCTGCCATCTAATAGCAAGGGCCTCCAACCTAGTAGCAATGGCCTCGATCCTAATAGCAATGGCCTCCAACCTGATAGCAATGGCCTGCAACCTAATAGCAATGGCCTCCAACCTAATAGCAACGGCCTGCAACCTGGTTTTGTATTTTTTTAAGGTTCCCGGGCCGGGATGTTTGACTATGGGGTATGCTTCGGAGGTATGCTTCGGGGGTATGCTTCGGGGTATGCTTCGTGCAGTGTGAAGACTAAAGTAGTAGCATTTTCAGAGCGTATGCTTCAGGGTATGCTTCGGGGGTATGCTTCGGGGTATGCTTCGCCTAAGTCGAACATCCCAGCCCTACATAAACTGGACACCTTAAAAAAAGACAAGCCCTAATAGCAACGGCCTGCAACCTAATAGCAATGGCCGCCAACCTAATAGCAACGGCCTGCAACCTAATAGCAATGGCCTGCAAC